CAACCCCGTACCTCCGAGTCTGCCCGGAATACCATACTAATACTAGGGGGAATTGGGTGAACGATGGATAAGCCTGTCCCGAAGGGTCCTAGTGGTATTTGACCACTCCCTCCCTCAGTTCGTTAGGTTTTGATTTTTATGGCTCGTGTTAGATTACAGATGTGCCTATGAAGAAATAGTGGTAGACATCACTCAGTCCGCGGTAGTGACCTGGAGGCGAGTTGACCACAGCAAGTATGATGTCAAGCGAAGGGATAGCGTGTAACGCTCTATTGTTGAATGGCCTGTTAGATGCTTCGGCGAAGGCTTGATGACTACATCAAATATTTCATAGTATCCATGAGATACATATATGCTGATCATAAATGGCGGCGTCGGACAATTATTGACGTTATTGGAGAAGGAGGGAAGCACTCTTCCAACACCAAACATCTCGCTCGCAAACCTATATCTTGATCTTGTGAGTGGACTGAATTGCTAAGTCTTCGAAACCCCCCTAATCTGCTAAAATTTGAATATTTTCTGGAACGATAAACGTAGGCCCCTATGCATCAGTGTACAGGAAGACAAAATTGTAGAACTAATGACTAACTCGTCTAGATTTGCGACATACTGAGCATCCGTACATTAAAATTTCGAATATAATAGAAGTTGGCAAGTCGATCATGTCTCGATTTCGAGCGCAAGCTCTATTAGCTCGACCGGAACCAACAGTGCTCAAGCGCCTGCCTTGCGGTGATCCTCTTCGTGGGGTCCATGTTCGTCATCTTGCACACCAGATCCCTGAGATCTGGCTCCACATAGGTCCAAGACTCGAAAGGTTGTCTTGGATTATCCGATGTGAAAATACCAGCAATCGAGATCAAGCGCTCATGGAAAGGATTGTCTTCTCCTATGTGCCCCAGGAAACCATTGAGACCTTGCTCATCCGCAAAATAGGACACGTGTCTTTGGAGAACGTAGCGCCAAGAGTCCACTGCACTGAGTTGGGAATCGCTCACGCGAAACACCATCTCATTGAGCATAACGTATATCATCTGCAGACACAATGAGGATTTCGGTGAGAACTAGAAATGAGTACAAAGGACAGACATACGACAATCCCGAAAGAGAAAATATCTGAGGCTTGGTTCTGTCGAGATCGACACCAACTTTCAGGGCTCCTCCAGATGCCATTGCCACAAAGGGGACCTCTCAGCCATTTGCCTGGTGGCACAATGACCGTATCCTCGAGATCTGATACTTGAACGTTTTTAACGACCACTTGACCGTCCGTGCTCTCGTCATAATCAACCAAGATATTGTTCGGCTTGATGTCTATGAAAAGGTTAGTAGTGTAAGTGAAACAGCCTTGAGGGTGTCGAAGCTTTCCATTGTGAAGGACCCCCCGATCATGCATAAAAGCCAACCCACGTAAAGCCAACTGGAGGATGTGAATCCTTGTTTCCCGATTGAGCGGCTTTTGGCTCAAACGAAGTAAATCTCCTGTAAGAAATGGGTAGATAAATAACTCGAGGTTCGGGACAGTGTCAACTACTGCTCGCACGTTGTGACACGAGGCTAATCCTTTCTGCAAGTTCAATTGATACTCAAACTCCCCCGGTATCATGTTTTTCACGATAAAGTTTCGCTCATCTGCTCTTTCCGTCATCAAATTGGTCAGCAACGATGCCGCAGGGGCAAGATGTCAATTGAACGGCACCTACCGCGCACGATATACACACAGCAGGGGCGTTCGGTGATCAGAGAGGACTTCTTCAATCACAAATATGCGTCCAGAATCACCCTTGAGGATTGTGCCCAACGGGAGAGGCTCTTGACGTAGGTGCGAAGTGTTATCCATCCGAGAAGACAGTTGCGAAAAAGGATGTCGACTAAATGAGAGACTGTGAAATGGTGGTGGTAGCACGATAGGTAAAACTTTTGGCTGTATCGGAACAAACCAAGAGATTTTCCGAGGTAATACTCGAGAAATCAGCATGATTCAAGATTGATAATGTGAACTCTGGGTTATCTGACATTAATATCATCGGGGAAGCCACGTGACAGAATGCACAGTCACGTGCTCTAAGCGCTGTTCACCCAGGACGGCCCTGCTTACCACAGAACCACTTCCGGCAGTGGTTCCCAAAATGGCTCAACAGCACAGCCCATTCATTCTCGCGAGATCCGCAAAGAATAGTTCTCAGTAAATAGGACAGTCTCGTACTTCAGGAATTGCATATATCGTAACAGCACATTTCTCATAATGAAGCACGATATTATCACGCTTGGCCTAACTTTTGTTTTGACTAGTTTATACTACAAGTCAATGTGATACTTGACATGCTATTCGCAATCAAATATCGCTATAAAGAAGACAATAAAACCCTTGAGAGTTTGCTGGGTATTCAGCGATTCTATTTACAAAAAGCTTGGAGTTGACCAATCTCCTCTTCAGCTGGCGGAAATGGCATCCAATGCAAAAGTTCTCTCGACTAAGCTCATCTCTGTCCTTTCCATCGGCGAACGATTAGTGAAAGTCGGATACGTGGATAAGACCGATGCGTGGAACAGAATCTACCTCAGCTCAGCAATTCAAGAGAAATTCAAGGCAACTTCTGCGAGAGAACTGCCATCGCTCAAACCGGAGACTGATATGGTTGCTCTTCAGTAAGTCATTAATATCTGGAGATTATCTTGCATATCTAATACCTTCCTGTAGAGAGACCCCCCATGCAAGTGAATCTGATAATCGCACTCATTTCACTGCGATAGAGATCGATGAAAAGGGTTCCGTCATAGCAAAAAGGCATTTTGCCGTGGAATGATCTGACCAACAATGGTGTGCAATTTTGTTGGCATCGCTATTATGACTGGACTGTGGATGCAGATTATTTCATGTCATGTATAATAGCGATCAACCTGCTTGTCATCCCAACCAACTAATCGCCTTTTTATGCTCTCTATACTAAGCATTTTTGATATCATTTTGTCACTTTCTGTCGTCCTTTGGCAGAATCATGAAGCATGCAAACGATCCAAGACGTAAACAGTCTTTGCTGAATATCAAGGGAGGCTGAAGGGAACTTACATGAGCCAAAATGTTTCTATATCTATCGTGATCATCAACACTCCAATTGACGGGTTGTCTGCGAGGGTTGTCTGCGAGGAGAGATGTTGATCATACGACACTAGCCCTATGCTCTTATGCAATACGTTACACGTACCCGCTTTTGGTTCTAATCCAGACTAAATTGTGCCCTGGGAAAAGTGGATATATGTAGGCAGCAAATAAAAGTCACGGGTGAGTATTTGCAGAAACTTATCCATCCTATCGCACTGATCAAATAATTATGTTACGCATCATGTATTAAGAGGTCCGGTACCGGCACCTGGCGTCTGTCTCCAGCAATGAAAATGTGCACCGCTGGCTTATATTTCGTACAAAAACATTGAATAGGGTTTGCACGTAGTTCACAGAACCGAAGGCGAAGTAGCAGCGGTGTGACGAAAGCTACTTGTATTTTGTCCGTGGTACACCACTTAATGTGATGAAGTACCATTTGTCCGCCACCGAATCCTGCGGCGAGCATAGAACAATATTATCTCTTTTCCTAAGCTCATTTTCATCACTTTCTCAACATCATGGGATTTCCATCATTCCAGTGGAAGAGATCGATATCCCCTTCCTCGATCTTCGAGCAAAAGAACACACCATTAAGCATTTTTCTGCTAGCGCTCTTATCTTCCTTTTTGACCTCAACGAACCACTTTTCCCGCACACGTACTTCTCTGTCATCGGGCTCTACTCGGCAAAGGCGAGAAAGGCAACGACAAGGAGAACTCGTGGGCCTTCTCAAGGGATATCCGACAAAAATATTATGAGCACCGCGAAACGTGAGACGGAAGAAGAAGTCAATTTGCATGCCTCGCGCGGTGCTAGTCTAGTCTACAGTGATTCGTGGATACATAAGGGAGTCCCGATACTCAGATACACTTTCTCTCTGGAAGTTCGTGAGCAACTCAAGCTCGATCGAACATAGTGCGACAGACAGCAGCAGCCCGTCGGTACAGATGAAGGACCCATACGATTAAGGGAAGATCAGCATCTTGATTACTGTTGGGCCACGGACGGCTCAAGCTCATGATTCAGCTTCCTGCGACGAAAGGAATCCTCAGCATCGAAGAGGACTTGTCATGCTAGAAAGCAAGAAGGATATGATCCTCGACGCTTTTATGCGACTGAAAAATTCTCAACTCGATGACATACGCTTTGTCAACGGCTTGATAGTGCAAAATTACCCTCAGGCGACTCATCCGATATGGACTGCTTGAGGTCACACTGTGTTGCAATTGTTAGAGTATACATAGGCTAAGAAACTCTCACGGCATATTTTACTCTGTATGCACATCGCGAATTCTAAGGTAAGCAATGATCGAACAACTGGCACTACTGAGACGCAAAATAACCAAAGAGAGCCGAATCATATCAATCCAGGTGATAAGAGAAATACTGTCGGAGAATGGGCCCAAGGGGTAATGGTTTTACCGAAATATCGTAGAATTTTAGTCATTTCCCCTATTTACCTGGTAGAGGGTGACTTCAGCAATGCACACAGCCGCATGTTGAGGTCAGTTTCAACTGGTTGCCATAATTACGGATAATTGACGGTCCGGAAAGAATCATGGGATCTTGCATGGTGTCAAAGTATACTAGGTGATGGATATTCTGTTTTTACACAATGCTTCAAAGCTACTCATTATTTTCTCGTGGGTTATCTGTGCTGTCGTCCATTAGATGAACGTCCAATTGCTATTCCGGTGCCAATGTGTAAAAAAAAGCCTAATTTAGTATCTCTTGCACCACCACCTCGAGACATAAAACCGATATTGCCATCCCGATTCAAACCTCCGCCGAGGAAGCACGAGCCTACATTGCTGATTGTGTTATAAAGTCTGTTCCTCAGACTCAATCCAACATTCGCATTTTCCATCAAGGTTCCACCAGATGTGAGATTATGACCTGTTTGAGCATATCAAGGCTTCATTCCCTGCTTTCAACTTTCATCCCACGCGTCCTGTCCCCAAAAAGCCCACGTGAGGCTGTTTTATTTGGAGGACCAGATCCTAAAAGAAGCTCGACGCTCGTTTCTACCAATTCAGATATTCCTATGATGTCGAAAGAAGAGTCTATCTTGACTGCACCGTCAGGCTCTGGTGTTTCTGCAAAAAGCGCAGTACTACAAAGCTTGCACGTAGGAATTCCTCTCTTCCATGTTGACAAAACTCGCTAACTGAACAGACCGTGCGTATTTTGTTTCCTCGCAATGGAACTACAATCATGGAAGATGTCAAAAGCAAGGGCCTTGATGATGTGGTGCTTGATGCCATTGTTCTCCAAGATCTTAGTGCTAGGCACCAAGCCCAGGATGACCAGGGTAACACAATAGATGCATTTCCGGCCGATCTTGCGGTTCGCGAGGCTGGTATCTCACGAGTTTGGGCGAAGTATGGCATTCCAAAATTCATTCCTCTGAGCATCGATGATCCGATTGTCTTGAACCAACCGACAAAAGACCTCGATCAAAAAAAGGCTCTATGTTACCAGCGCCTACACTCAAGATATCTGCACGAGCACGGAAGAAGAAAAAGGCTCGCAGAAGTGTTTGGATATGAGATTTCTGTGGATTTGGAAAATTGGTATAAAGTGTCACTGCAAGACATTGGCAGCCGCCTAAGAAGTCTCGGGTACTATTGATAAAGGAATACATAGTTCAAAAAAAGAACGATTGCGAAGTTCAAAGGACCCTTTTAGCACGATGGTTTGGTATGGACGTTAAGGTATTATCCTCTTCATTATCATGAGGTTGTCTTAAAAAAAAAAAAGAAAAAAGCACTTAGGACCTGGTATGCTCCGGGTGTCAGAGCATCAAAATGAAGTTGACGCTAATTCCATATCACTACCATGTAAAAACTTCTCATGGTGTAATGGAGTCACTTATCGGAGTGAAATCTGTACCCGAGCATTTACACAAATCCGCTGCTTCACTAGAGCGATTGCGGGGAATTTCTTTGCTTCCCGTTCCCCGAATAAGCTGAAAGTCATCTGTGGCGAATCAATACCGTTCTACTGTTAAGTTACTGTTAAAGACAGGAAAGGGGGCATCAGATTAAAGTCTGGGGAATCTATTCCGTGGATCTTATAAATCTAACCTAGGCTTTCTACCAGCCAATAATAAGCCGTGTCATTTAGAATCGAACAAAACCAACTCTCCCAGTATTTAATACTTCAATCAGAAGATACTTGTCTCGACTTACATGGTAGTTTATTTAGCATGTCTAGAGTTTTGATGGTGAGCAATTCACACTGCCTATAATGGAAAAAGTAACATGTACCTGCATGCTGAGATATTGTCCCTGGATGAACATCCGGTGCTGTGCATTGTGGATTTATCCTCATAAGTGATATAAATACACAACCACATTCGCATGTCCTTCATCATGTATGACCAGGAGCTGGAAACACTTTCTCTCGGTGCTTGCATATGGCATTGTTTGATCCTTTATGTTACTATTCTGTTTTGCGTAATAACTTGTCGCCACATCCGAGAATCCTTGTTCTACGTATGTTTACCTCGGGCCTTTCGATACACGGCTTATAATTTTTAGTGAACAGTAACATACAAGTTGCAGTGTCGTCAATCGGCGTTTCTCACACCCTACCTCCCCTACTTACTTCGTACGGTATCACCGTGAGACGAACATGAACCGAAGCGCTCCGTTTATCATGATAAGACGTGCACTTAAGTGGCTTCAGACTCAACAGGTATGAAGCCTTGATGATTTTACTTCATGTCTGACAGATTTAGGTACACCTGGGAACATATTGGACATTCTATGCTTATACTACAATCATGGATACAAAAACATCGTTGCATCAATGGGGCTTTACAGGCGACGGGACTACCATGTGTGGAATGGAGGTATCTGAGACAATGCCAATGTTTGGCGGGGAGATAAACGTGACGAAACATGTTGTGATAGTGGATAGCCCCGTTTGATTCAATATCAAAGGACGAGTGACATCAAGGATTGATCAAATTTTCCCGACAAGATAGAATAGTGGAGACTCACAACCGGGTTCAAGATGTTTGCCGCCTCCACCGAGGTGAAGCTAAAGGCCCGGACCTCTATCAACTATAAAGCTCCGAGTTCCCAGACTGGTCTCAAAAGAAATTTGTTTCCATTCAACGCGTTGCTTTAGTTTTCTACGACCTCCGAACGTCAAAGATCCCAATCGACCATGCAAGCTCGCGCTTACAGGGCTTGCGAGACCTGTCGCAGGAGTAGGAGTCGCTGCACTGGGGGACCTCCATGTGAGACTTGTCTTGAACGTCGAAAACAGACTTGTGAATTCATCGCCACTGCACCTCGCAGTAAGTCTTTTGGACAGCACGCAAGGCTGGATACCGATGCATGCCTTTTATGGCGCAGTAAGAACGCAATTTGCACGGGAGGGCCGCCCTGCGAGGAATGCGTTGAGGGAAGTGACATGTGTTCATTTGATACTGAACTTCACATTGAGGACCACCTGGGTAAAGGTCGCAGGTCAGCCTGCCTACCGTGCCGCATGCGGAAAACTCGTTGCACCGGCAGAGTGCCTCCTTGTGAAGCCTGTACTATCCGTGGTTCTGAAAGTACTTGCGAGTTTGCCAAGACGACAAAAGGTGACCCCGAACTTACGACGATGCATATAAACCATCAATGCGATGGCGCTGCCGAGCCATGCTGGAAGGCCGTTCCAGAGACAGAGTCAATGCAGCAGCCTGAGAGCACTCTAGAAATAGAGACCGACAATGCGCCGTCACCCTGCAATTTGACCGCGCTTGAAACGAGAAAAGTACGCCGCAGCGAGTCACTCGGCTGCAGCAAACCACTTTCCACAACCAGCAGTGCCACCTCTCTGTCTGATTTAAGCAAAACTCCAAGCCTGGAAGCTTCTGATCCCGATGGAAGTGCTCACGCATCTTCACAGATAGGCTGCACTTCATATGACGAAATACTCCACGTCCTTCCAAGCCGCCAGATGATCGATTCTTTGATAGGAAAGTACTTTACATCAATTTCCATGGTAAGTTTGGCCTAGCAATAATGTTGCGATATGCTTACTCACAAAACACTAGTTATTTTGTGTCGTCAACGCTGCCAAGTTCGAAACCGAGTATGAGGCTTTCTGCCGCAACACTCAAGTTGTGACGCCATCTTGGCTATCCTTGCTTTTTGCAATCCTAGCGCTAGGCTGTCGGGCGGAAGAAGATTCCAGAATACTCTGTCTCTCTGACGATCAGTCGATTTTCTACGAGAAAGCCGCCTGGCACTGTTTGTTGGCCAGTGACTCACCGTCTGAGCCATCACTGAGTGCGTTGAAAGCAATCGTACTTATTGTCTATGGTCGCGCACACCGTGGGCAGGATGTATTCAGTGATCTCCAACTGGCTTATCGCATGGTGGCATCTACCAAAGGTCATAGCGCTGGACAGAATGTGGTTGAGCCCACGGTATGCGAGGAATATCGATGTCTATTGACTGGCATGAAAACGCTTTCCCTTCTCAATGCCCAAGTACACGACTACTACCGCAACCAGGATCTCATACGAGATTTACTCCCTCCAGCTGATATTTACGAGTCCACTGGAAGAGCCAATCTATCACTGAGTGCCGAAGGATCACCCTCGCAGATGACTTTTACAATCTTGAATTTGCAACTTTTGGAAATATCTCATACGATCTTCATGAGCGCAGAGATTGGTTTCAAGTCCGAATGGAGCCTGGGTGCACTTGAAACCGAGCTATTACAAATGGAGAAACACTGCAGCGAGGTCTACGCCAACCTTGGTCACTCTGATTCGCAGTTGGGCTCTCACCAAGGCAGCCATGGTATACTGCATTGCTACATCAACTATCTTGTCCATCTTCTCTTCTTGCCTGATCTCGACCGATACCTGGATGGGGACATTACGCCTGAGACAAGAACATCCCAACAGAAGTGCACGATTTTTGCAAAGGCCTCGTTGCGCAATTTTAACCTTCTAGCTGAGAACATGCAGTGTAAATCCTATGCTTGGTATATTCGAGGTGTTGGAAGTCACTATGCCGAACGATCAGCATATGCTCTCACCAGATGCCTTGCAGGGTTTCAAAAAGGAGATCAAGACGAAGAGGCCAAGCATATCCTGAACCATACGTTGGGAATATTTTCTGCATTATCGGACCGCAGCATCTTCTCTGCAAGAGGAGCCTTTCTTCTTGAACATCAATGTATGCCTATGCCATTCAATAGCTACTCCTCGCACCTTGGTCTTTAATTTCATTTCAAGAATCCAGGCAGGCACTCTTCGCAAGGAGTTATGGAACCTGAGCTTGCCGACATTCTCGACGGTGAACAAGCACGTTCTCCGCGCCGCCCAACTCGGAACATTGATCTCTCAGTGTATTAGACAACATATGTTCATTGCTTTACAAAAATACATAACCTTTAACTTGCTTCTAGATTTATCAATTGAATCTGTTAATTATGCTATTAAAACCTGTACATCGCTCTCCATGAAATCTCCAGGGCGGCACATTGATGTAGATAGGCATGGTTTCGTAATGGGTATAATGGGTGGATCCTCCAATGGTTATAGGTGACAGGATGCGATGTAAAGTTCCGAGCTGACCGGCTTGCTAGGCCTGCTACGCTCAATAGTTATGTATTAGTCTAATAGTATTCAAAGAATGGCGGGTTTCCCCATGCGTAGTTGCATTCCCATCTTTCCTTTGAAGGCTAGTCAGACCTACGCCACAAACTAGTTTTTCAGTTGCGACAATATAAAAGACTACATCTCCCTAACATTAAAAGGTGGTATAGGCAAAATCCATCTCTCCCCTTTACAGCGGGAGCAAGACCAGATGTTGGAGCACCTGTTTTGATGGTATTGTTCTGTCATCCTGATACGCACTACTCATGCATTAGGGTTAGACAAAGTTGATTTCCAATCAACTTTGTCGTCTGTATAGACAATTCGGAGCTAATTTCGACGGCGCGGCTTGGTTCCTGATCTACACCAGCCTCATATCACAACAAGTGGGGATTCTACGACTGAAAACTTTTGAGAAGTCATAACAAAAAGCGCTGGCTAGGTCGTACTCGCCTTTGATCCTACGAGTTGAAAATAAAAGTCTTAATAAAAGGTGCCTATGCCAGCACTCTATTCGATTCGATTTCGCTCCTGCAGTGCACGAACAGCTACCAATGGGCTCCGTTATTACTGGATTCATCAGTTGCTTTCAACATTCTGTTGGACTTACGCATTTCAAATGGACTCGAAAGAGGAATGCTGGTTGGATTTGCCTCTGTCTTGCTGCTTCCGTCGCGGAATGTACCCAGCCCAAAATTATCTTCCTTCGCGATAATTTCTCGGTCTCCAACTCCACTTGGAACAAATTTTACCGTGTTCCATTAGATCTTGAACATTTGATAAATGGATAACCCTGAGTGCTACCTAGGATGCTCTTGATTCATTACTCTGCAGTGCCTTTTTTTTTATCCAATCATCCCGTGCAATTTGGTTCGATCTGCATCTTTGGTTATCAGACACGCTCTTTGTTCACCCGCCAAAAAAGACCATCAGAAGCTGTTAGATGCAATTTTATGAAAAACCCCATGCTTGAGCCTTTTTTGGTATTCTGTTGTGATTCATGGTCAGGCCTCACCAATATTGAACATGTCGCTCAAGCGAATTCCTCCCATCAACCTCGTTGCTGCCGTTTGAATACATACAGTCCAAACCTTTCTGCAAGTGACAAAATCTCAATCTTGAGATTTTCGCTCATGACGAATACAAGCACTTTACTGTATCATGTGTCAGTTTTTGGGTTCTACGATCAGGGGGAAATATTTGGGCGAGTGAGCAATATGAGTATAAACCTGGACTTTTTCACACTGCGCATTTAATTTGATACGCTTGGTCATCCGGCTTTTCCAAAGCAAGTCAAAATTTCTTGAGAGTTTGTTACTCTATATTGACATAAAAGTTTGGGATCCAAAAAGTGTAATGATGCCGACGAGCAATCCTCGACCGCAACGTCTCTCTTTCCAATTGGCATAGACATTACGATGATGGCATCTGGCTTGATGATCAAAGTTCAAAAATTGAAGACATTAGGCGACTACAACATCACCCATGGATTTCTGATACTTTCCACAATGCTGACGGGCACAATCCTTTGGGGGAAGACAACCAATGTAGCCCAGACTTGGGTCATATTTTAAATTGGAACTCTGAAGTCCGAAAACATTGCCACGCAGACGTTTCATCCGATTTTTGATCCTTTTTTCGTTAATATTCAGATCATTGGAGCGCTCTTAGGTCCATCTCATGATGAATCAGGCTCAAATCAAATCACATTGCAGAATTAAAGTTGTCTCTTTGTGGTTTTATACCCATTGATTCACGGATTTACTTCATTCGCAGCCAGAACGCAAATTTGACCCAGCGTAGTTCGACTTGACGGGGATATACCCACAAAGTGGAGACTACTTGTTATTCGTTATTTCCATTAAACTCTCCATATATTGTAACAGTTGCGTGAAACTTTTGTTTATTTCTTTTTCATAATTACATTTTCGGTCTCAAAAGCTATGCGACGTATTCTTCGAACATTTAAGCAGAGCCAGCCGACTGACTCTAGGGCCTATATCTACCAACTCCTCGCTAGGGGAGATTCCTCTAAGGTATATTGTCTGATGCAAAACCACAAATACATTGAAAGACACGTCCAAAAATAATATTGTTTGCGCAGTAAACAAGACTCATACCAAATAGAGGACGATGTTGTAGAAATAACATATCAAGGACAGCTGTCTCCCAGGTAAAGACTGCTGCCACTCATTTCACCGCTTGAAGTATCATCACCGGCATCGGCGGTGGTTTAGTAGTCCTCTTTCTGCTGCTGAGTTACATCTTTTTTATCTCCTGCCAAAATCGAGATTGCCTTTGATTGCAGCATGGCCTTTGCATCCGTAGTACATTCGATATGTCCAATTGTTAGAAAATTGATATAACCACCATTTACTTAACAGCGTTTCCACCTACAATGTGAAGCTGATTGTCTCCACAAGAGAGCGACGCGATACATATGTAGATAGATGATCGAAAGAAAGTTTTATGAATCAATGAATCTAGGCAAAATATGTGTTGTCGCTTCACTATCTTCGTTGAGACCAGGAAGATAGAATCTGACACCGTGTATACAATTGCATAGCGCGAGTATAACCCTGCAAAGTTGGGCACCTGGGAGCGCCAGGATCTTGATGATGCAGCACACCAGTGGCGGGAACATTATCATAGTCGCTGTAGCCCGTTTCATTTGTTTCACTCAGACAAGGAATTGTTTTCATCCGTGATAAGGTATATTCCTTCATGTGGCGATTATAAATTGGTAGGGGCGCGTTGTTGGTTAAGCTGGCTATTTGGATGTCACTGTGGGACAGAGTTCCTGGCATATTGTCGAAATAATATGGGCATTGTGGACAGCGGTTTGTTGCGCTGATTTGATGTTCCAGGCGACATATAACCATACAGCAGGGAGAGCAGAATTGCGATAGGCGTAGAACCGAAATCTTTCACAGAACATATAGATACAGATACTGTGTTTTCAAGATGTGGAAATCAAACCACGTTTCGACGAAGGGAGGGCAAAAATCTCAGATACCAGGTGTTGAGGCATATGACGTCAATAAAAAAACCAAGTTATGATCTGTCTGATACCTGGAAATGTAATTGGTAGTTTTGTGGTTCACCGGAAATACATCAAGAAAAGGTGGTGGGGAATTTCCTTCGCCTAATCAAGCCTAGCGTAAGCACAGTGGGGCACTGTGTTGTAGCATGTGTATATTGGTTGTATTGTTGTGGAGTTGTGTGGGTCACAATCCAGTAATATAGATACAGGTCTAACCCTAATGCATGAGTAGTGCGTATCAGGATGACAGAACAATACCATCAAAACAGGTGCTCCAACACACTGGGAAAGAAAGTGTGTTTGTCAAAGGGGCAATTTGGGTTCGAATTTCCACTGTAACGTATATGCGACACACGGCGTGATGGTACGTACTACAACTCAAGAGGTAAATAGACTGGATACGCCAATTATTACTTCTCTCCCAGCTTCATGCTTTCTGCTCCAGTTCAAGCTCATGTGTACTGACAGGAGAACAATGTTCGGTGCAGATACTGCAGGGTCGAGTGTCTGGTGCAATGGGATTTTCTGGACTGCTCGACGAGACAATATGAAAACGAGAATGCTGGCAAGCAGTAACCCAGTGGCCAGCATTGCTTGCATTTGAGTCGGGATATGCATGACTGACTGAATTATGGTCATGGTGTAAGTTAGAAGAGGATTTGGATTGAACTTATGTTCGAAATGCCTGTTGCGGTGCTTACTGTATAGCCTCTGCTGCACAAGTTGCGGTTTTCGACGTCATGCAGCCATCTAGCTCGCACTATGTAAGAAATTGACAAGAGGGTTCAACATGCCTGTGATGTTCACTGTATTCGTCGCATGCCGCAGGAGCTCACGGGAACTCCTCGTCGGGCTCCAGAAGCGAAGGGTCGGTGAAAGTATCGTCAAGCGTCAGCATGGGTGTTTCGAGACATGTTGCCCCGGGATGCCGGAGCCGACCGAAAGGTCATTCGAATCGCTCTCCGAATTCATAGCCAACAGTGCCCCACGAAATTGATTAATAGAGTTACAGGGGAACATTGTTTCAGTGATACAGCCTGCGCTGAAAATATGGGGAAATTAATTAATTAAAGAGGCGTGCCATCATTGCTAAAAGCACAAAGACGCACATTTTCCGGCGCAGATCTATGTAGAAAACTATTCTTCCTGAGGGGGCATTGACCAGGTATAGATAGCTGGTGTTAGGTCACTCAAGTGCAGCCCTCATCAATAGTGCGCCGTCGAGTGTTATGACACCATCAGGGGTAATAGCATGGCCACTGATAGAATGTGGTTGCTAGACCTGGCTAAACTGTCAGCTTTGTCCAAATAACAATGAGAATAGGCTGGGAAGATGGGTACCTTGATAAATTGCACATCCCTCATTCAAGACTCTGACGAACCCTGATCAGAAACATCAGAGTGCTCACTGCTACGACTTTTGGGGCCGCTGCCATCACGCGAGTCACTCATGTCGACAGAGGAAGAAATCTGTTGCTGGGTGTGATGTAGCATGGTACGGTTGTAATCCTCTAGCGATGTGCTATCGGGGTTCAGAGGATGGTATGAGTCGACGAAAGTCTCGTTGGTCGGCTGCTGCACGCCTTCTGACTTGGGAAGGGACATTATAATGCTGTTAATGGGCTGTTGCACTTGAGCTGTTCGAGTGGTGATGGTAAAAGACTATAGATCCATGTTGTCAGCACGGCTCATAGACCTAGATAATGAGATTGTGAGGATTAGTGAACACAGACTTTACCAGAGACGCTTCAAATGATCTTGTCAAAATAGTGATCTTGGGTAAGTGGCATATGTGGGGAGGGAGGGACGCTGTCTTACCTTGCTAGAGAGCTGATGAAGAAGTCCAACGTGTGCGACAGTGGTCAGAATACCCACTGGTTGAGCAGGGGCGGGCGGACTAAAAACAGCCTTTAACCTTAGTTAGAATGTGAAATCACATGATAGATTATCTAAAATTGAAATTCTAACTGTTCGTTCTCTGATAGGCGTAGAAGATGCCAAATATCTCCTGGGAAGGGCAATGATGGTCTGAAGAAATGTTCCGCCGATTACAGCAAGGTGATGTACAGTGACGTCATTAGCGGAAGGGACATGGTGTTTCCATATGAGAATTACCTGATTCCCATTCTTCAGAGCTTAAATATTTGCAGTTTACGACATGGCGGGTTTTCGTCATCACGAAAACGTCACGAATTAAATATCTCCGCGTTCTTATGGATCACCGATAAGTGGGTCTGAAATTTCCGATGAGGTCACTGGGGAAGCTCATTCTATTGCTATGCCTGGTACCTCAACGCCCTAAGGGGCTTCCGGTCCGTGCATTCATGCACATCTCTATGATGATGTAAATTTGCCCCAAGTCAGCTCGCACTGGGCAGCAGTCCTTGCCAGGCTGTTGGGACATTGGCTTCGAACCTTCTCGTGGTGCCCGTTGTTAATCCCGTCGGGAGAATGAAATGAATTCGCCGTGGTTGTGCCGTCGATCGCCCTTGAGAGCACCAGCAGAGCCTGCTCGGTAGTTCTTCCAGGGCGTCCACCGAATTGAGTATCCGATAGCAGACTATGCTTTTTTGCGAGATATGAGACTCGTCGGGCTACCACTGCCTCGCGAAGTTTTCCTAGCGCGTTGAGCAGTGAGATCGAGCGGCAAGCTCCGTGGACCGAATAAGCTGGCGCCTAGGTCTTCCACAGCAGCACGATTTGTGCGCTCCGCCATGTTACGGGTGGTACCTTGGGCTCTGTGATGCGTTGAAAATCCTAGCAATGTCAGGTGTTCCCATAGTTGTTGCCGAACCAGCAATCGGGAAAATTGTCTTCTCCCGGTGCGGTGGTCCCCTTTGGCAGCTTTGAGGGATCGTTGATTCTCTAGCTCGCTTATAGGTTGCATCAGGAGCCCCAGTGGTGCCGGTGCCGTCGGATTGACATCGGGTGTTAATTTCGGGGAAGGAAGAATTCAAAAAAGCACGCGCCTTGTCTTCGTTCTCAATAAGCTCCTTGTCGTCAATTTGCAGCGGTGGGACACACCCCAGATCTCCTGCAGTTTCATCATCTTGCTAGAACCGGCATATAGTACATAAGATCTCGTAAAATGCTTTGTCACTTGCTTATAGTATACCACACATTTTTCTACTTGACTGCCTGCTTACTCAGATTGTTCATTCACCATTGCTATCCACAGAAGCCGCATCCCTTCGGATCGAGGAAATGTTTCGTAGCAGAGTTAGATCACGTGATATGATTTGGATGCTTTAATTGGTGGAATGTCAAACCGACAGAGAAATTTCACACCGCGCGTGCAAAACAGGGCGGAGAAAAATGGTGAGGATGGCAAAAAAGTGGTGGAAATAGGCACCCTCAATTCTCGACATGGCTGAGCTGACCATTGTGAAGTATGTAATGAGCGGTTCCAGCTTTGACGTCACCAATAGGTAAGGGTCATCTTTACACAAAAAGGGGTATAAATATTGATTCAAGATTTCAGGTACTCCAGATTACGTTTAATTGGATTCGGATCACATGGGCAGGTCTGGTATGAAACACTCTCCAGTCGAGAATGCCGGCGGCCATCTCGCCCGACTGACAGATGCACGGTCTTAGCTCTGCAAGCGATAACCTCACTCTTTCGGCTGTTGCCATAAAGAAAGTGCTCGAGCCATTTCGGACAGTGGAAATAGCGAAATGAACCTTCAGAGAAGTCAAATTACTCCGATATCTAAAACATGATAATGTTGGCCTAAAATTACCCTTGCTTACCTTCAGCATTGTGATCAAAGCTGACCATAGGCCCAGATCATTGCTATGCAGGACATTTTCGTCTCTCCTCTTGATGATTTGTACGTAGAAGTCATGTTTGAAATTTCAGATTGGACGATCTTCGCTGACTTGCTATTAGGTACATAGTGACGGATCTTGTTAGCACTGATCTTCGTCGTGTCATCGAAACCAAACCTTTGGAAGATCGCTATATACAGTATTTCTTCTACCAAATTGTGGTTAGTGAGAGCCCCTTGCTCTATGCAGTCTTCTTATCATTCATGAGCAGCGTGCTTTGAAATATGTCCATTCCGCTGGAGTGGTCCATAGGGATTTGAAGCCTTCCAATATTCTTATTAACGAGAATTGCGATCTCAAGCTCTGTGACTTCGGCCTTGCTCGAGCTCTTGATCAGTCGATGACTGGCTACGTGACAACTCGATTCTATCGTGCACCTGAAACCATACTCAGCTGGAAAACATACGGTGTTGAGGCAGATATGTGGAGTGCTGGCTGTGTGATTGCTGAGATGATCAACGGGAAGCCCTTGTTTCCCGGCAGAAACCAGACAGATCAGTTCTTGGTTATTCATGATATCCTTGGATCAGTTCCTCCTGACTTTCTACCGGCTATAAGTTCCAAAAAGGTGAAATTGCTTCCTCTTAACTAAGCTTTCAAATTTCTTTTCCTTTTCGCTGATTTTTCTTTTTGAAGACTTTAGAGCACATCGAAAGTCTTCCTTTTCGAGAAAAAAGGCCGCTTAAAGACAGACTCAAAGATGCGTCTTTCAACGGTGGGTCTAGATAAAACTCACACGGATCACTGGCCAATCAATAATAACGGAAATAGCTCTTGATATGCTAGAAAGCTTATTAACGTGGAACCCAAGCCAACGAATCAGTGCTGTTACAGCACTCTCATATCCATATCTGAGTCGCTATCATGATCCGGCCGACGAACCAGCAGCGAGTGCCCCTTTAAATTGGGCTCTCATTGACTGTGACCATTCATTAGGAACATGGAAATGGATGATGTCAGTCTGATTAAAACATTCCTAAAGTCTCCCTCGACTAGAAGCTGACAACCGTCAGATATGAAGAAATCATGGATCATCTTCGGTTTTCCCTGAGAGATTCTCCGTTTGCTTGTTGATCAGCACCCTTTGCAACCCTATGCCAAGCGGTCCAAGTGATGATTCCATGCTGAATATCTAGTCACATCACCGCAAATGATGGTTCAGTGCATCAAGCGATACTTACAACATTAAAGACGTCAAAGCAAATCAAGGCAGACTCTGTCAGTATAGAATGTCTTCCTGGGATCACTATTTATTTTGAAATATGTTACACACCGTCCATCATTTTGGAGATGATGATAACGTACTGGTTCCTTTTCACAGGACAGCAACTCCTAGGAATCCACGGGGTGACTTCTAGAGCTGCCTTGATACCGAGGATTCGCAACGATCATTGTGGCCATCAATCCAAATGATACAGATGGTGCTTTTACCTGAGCATTCTTACCGAGAGAATGCCTATAAGCATTACCACTGAGGCAACAAACCATGGGAAAGGCACCTCGCACGGCTCACTATCAGCTGGGCCCTTATTTGTTAAGGCAGCATTTATGTGAAGAGACCATAGCACACATGAGTTCACGGTGCTTGGAGATTGACCTGCTTCGTCATTCTGCATTCGGAAAAATCTTTTCTTGCGGACACAATGTCTTGAAAACTTCCGCAGCCACAATTCGAATGCGTCTTGCCTTCATTTTCCTTTCCAGCACCTGGCTGGCTGTTGCCGGTCTCAGTTCGTCCACTGTACGATTTGCGACCATCCTACGAGACCCCGCAAAATCTGACCTCGCCACCTCAAGCGACTCTATTTTGGACATCACATTCCAAAACGTCATGGACAGCTTCGTCGTGGGCTTGGTGATTATGGCCCTGGTCTCAGGCCTGTCTTCCATCTTCGTGATTATCCTTGTGATCTACCCAAAGTGGCTACAAGAGAACTGCACCGTTCAATTCTCCTACCGTTGCATTCAAGTTGTTGTGAGCAAGATCGTTCTCTCCTTAGGAGGTTATGTTGCCAACCACGCCCACGGCTTGCAGACATTTTTCGAGTTTATTGACAGTGATGGCCACTTTCCATACTACACGATTATGTATTATGGAGCCGTTGGCTAGGCCGCTTTCGGAGTTCTGGTGGTCATCATGTCTCTCGTGCGGTTTGCCGTATATGGCTTACGCGGTCACTAGCAGAGTACGCGCACCAAGCTACAAAACAGTCAAAGAGGTGATTCCAACTACCTCTAGAGTAGGGCATTGAAGAACGAGTCGGTGGGGATCATGAATAAAACCAGTCGCATTTAATAATGATTTTCGAAGAATAAGGGAGGGAGGTAGAGTCCAAAAACATTAGAGAGGTGCGACGGATAGAGTCATGCAAAGAAATGGACTTGACTGCAGAGTTGTTGAGATACAGTAATTTACCAATTGAAACTCCTGATTGAAGTCATAGCATATTCATCACTAGATCTGACTAGCCAACCGGCCGTGGCTGATGTCGGAGCGGTATTCCGAGTGGCTTGATGAAAGACATGTGATGATTGACGATGTTCTCTGCGTAAATATCCATCAATCCTGGTGGTCGTGAAGACTTCAAAAGCCGACTCTGGAAACATGTGACCTATATAAGGATCACATAGCCCTATGAAATCGTACGTAGCTTGTAGACTCTACATTCCCACTCTCACAAAGTCAGTCACGTTCCTGCTGACATCTCTATCAGCCCTGGGGGTTATATTGCTCCCGGGGATTTCAGTGCGGTTCCTGGGGGCATACAAGCAGCTTCTAGGAGCCACGTAGCGCCCAGGAAATTCAACGTAGCTTCTGGGGTCTTGTGTCTCCACCTCGGGGAACCAAATTCGCGTTCCTGTTTGTTGTAGTTCAGAGGTATAGATTGACTTGTTATTTCAGAGGGATACATGAGCCTATATATACAACAATGAGCCAAGTTGATTTCCAATCAACTTGGTCGTCTGTATAGACACTTCGGAGCTAATTCCGACGGTGCGGCTTGGTTCCTGATCTGCACCAGCCTCATATCACAACACCATGCCCTGGTAATGTGAGTGATTTATCGCGCCTTCCGCTGCGCTATATCATTTGTTGCGAATTCTTGTGCTCCAAATCACCAATACCATTACTGATTTTCATGCCATTGTATATAGGAGCAGCCCATCGCCACCCGTGAAACATCCTTGTGGGTAGTAGTCCTTATCGACGGATCGGAGATAAGACCAAGGTGGCACGTTACGACGCGTGCTCCATCGCGTCTTCCGTCCTCGACCTCACCGCCTCCACACTATGATGGTGGGATGTTCGCCGTCCCCATCGCGAGGTCTTATCCCATTACAACTGTACAATTTCTTGTCATAGGGGGATTCGTCACGTGCCCTTGGGGCTCAGAAGTTAACCGGTGCACCCAGCGCGGCTTATTCGAAGCGACAGCCGGAGACTGCGACGAACTGGATACAACATCATGTCAAATGGCATGAATGGTGACTGCGTCAATGAAGACAACTGTAAGTGACCTTGTCGGTAAGCTATGTCCACGAAGCTAATTGACCGTCTCGTCTCAAGCGAATATGCTGCAAACTCTATGAATAGGTAAGTCATAACATCATAACAACTCGACCAAATAGTTCAAGCCTTGCTGACTTGGATCGCACAACAGACACCCCTCGTATTCCCGTCACTCGATTGCGAAGGAGCAAATGTCTTGTCTGCTCGAGCTGCCCTATACCGATGCGATCGCATGCTGTCTATCATTTCCACATAACTAATGGTGGCATCGATGATGTGTCAATGTAAGGTCCGGATCGTCTCGGCCCTTCTCTCAGTCGACTCTGTGCAATCATTCATGTGCTGATGTGTCTACCCGATATAAAGTCCAAGCCACAATGGGCTCAACCACCATCTGTCTCGGCATTCAAACACCGCGAAAGAATAGCCTCCTTGTGGATCGAATTCCTGGTGTCCAATGGGTGATCCTCATTGTCCCCTGTTGGCATCTGGCGTCTTTTCAGTCCTGGAATCTCAAAAGACCCGAGGAATACTGGTGATTTTGTCCACAGCCCGGCATTTTTGGAGCAGCGGCCGCAGAGTGCGATGAACCAGAAAACAACATGGCATGAATGGTGCTGCATTGCCTTGCCGAAGAGGATTGTAAGTGATCTAGTTGGCAAGTTCATATGAACACGAAGTTTACTGATCGTCTCGTCTCAAGCGTACAAAGCGTGCCCTCTGCGAACTCTATGAACAGGTAAGTCATAACAACTCGTCCAAGTGGTAAGCATTGCTGACTCCTATCGTACAACAGGATGCCCTCATTTTCTCTACTCGAGCTTCCCTATACCAATGCGATCGCATGCTGTCTATCCGTTCCATTCCACTACTCGCCGCATCGATGATGAGTCAGTGTAAGGATCAGATCGTATACCTCGGCCCTTCTCTCAGTCGACTCTGTACATCAGTCATGTGCTGATGTGTCTACCCGATGCAAAGCCCAAGCCGTAATGGGCTTATGCCACCGTGTCTAGGCATTCCAATACCGCGAAAGAATAGCCTACTTGTGGATCGAATTACTGGCGTTCATTGGGTGATCCTCATTATTCTCGATTCGCATCTCACGTCTTTTGATGCCTGGCAGCTCGACAGGCACCGTGATTAGCTCATTTTTCAGTCTGGCTCATGGCGGGCGAGTCCTACTTTCGCCGACGAGCAGGCTGTGAGTCTAAGTATGCGTGCAAGGAGAAGGTGAGGCGGGACCCCATTATTTCGAGCCTACAGATGAACATTGGCCACATCAGGTACGAACCGATAGAAGGAGACGGTAGGGTGTCGAGTCATAGCCGAGTCAACTAGAGAGCACGAGCAAGAGATGCCGTCCGATAGTTTCACCTGATCCTACTCCGCGTTGCTGAGTCGGTCGATGTATTCTAGCGGGTGGAGCTAACAAGCGGAAACGAACAAGTGAAAATGAATAAACCGGGCATGCACGACGCTGCATCAAGAGCACCGTCAGAACAGTTGTGGTGTCTTTGGATATACGCTGGCTGGATCTGATGCCTAAACACGCTTTTTTCTATCCAAGCCGGAGTAACGTGTGCAAAGGCCATTTCCCCTGGATGTCACTGCATCTGCAGGTTAGTCAACCCGAGCGCGTGTATCTCTCACTGAAATCGTCTTCTGGCATATCGCGTGCAAGCGGTTTTCTCAGGGAATGGCCGAGTTATCTATGTCCCCTACCTCTACTGTCCTTGAGCATCAATTATTTGTCAGACACACCGCGCTTTGGACTGGTATATCACCGTTCGAGCTGATCCATTGTGAAGGTGGGTTTCTGCGGAACTTTACTCGGAGCCGTCCTCTGTGCGACCTCTCTGACTATCTATGACAGCCTATGCTAAAAGTTCTAGCCCTCATCAGCATTCATATGATTGCTTTCGGCGGGATTGGTTACGCGCATATCTGCTGCGGCTCCAAGCCAAGTAAATCACATCACAAAAGTCCGTCGCAAATCTTGGCGGAATCGTCTTTACCAGATCTGGTCAAGATGGCGCTTGCTAAACCCCAATCCGGCTGCCTCCATGTTCTCTGGGCAGCGGAGCATGCCTGATCGCATGGATTTGGGTACTACGCCCAAAAAGCAATGGCGATCGCTTTGGGTGCAGTAGTGGATGTTGATAATGGGAGAGGACAGACGATATAAATCGTAGCTGCTGACGGGATTATTCACGGGGTTGCGACGGCTCCCTTGTAGAATCAGCCAATCCGAAATTTTCGAGCCAATCCCCTCAATTTCTTCGCTGTCTTTATCGGGAATCCACTTTGACTCGCGACCGATGTGGATGTAGGCATTCTACAGCAGAGTGAGTGACTTGCAAGCCACCTGAAGCGGCAAATTCGACTACGCGAGGAACAGTCTATCGCATCACCGTGATTATCTGAGCAACAAAATGTATTTCGAGCGCTCTTTCAATGCTTCATCTAGACCTGGTGGGTCTAGTTGTGGGTGTTTTGCCTAATTATAGCTTGACCAGGGGACCATCGTAGCAAGGGATGCCAAATGGCGCCGAATTAAACAGTGAAACTGATATCTCTGTCACATGTACAGTATACTTCCGGACCGGCCCAAAAGCCCAAGGCCCAACCCGGCCCCAACCCGCAGATGGGCACTAGGCCTAGGGTAGAAGCCCCCGGGCTTTCTTGGGGCCAATGGGCCGAAAACAATACAGACATGCCAATTCTTGGCATTTGCATAAAAAAATGCAGATTTTCCCAGTATCAATTATCTGTGGAAACGGACACTCGTTGTGAGAAATTAGCTAGCTTTCGGCATGAAATTGAATCCTAAAAGGCTACAAATGAGGAGTTCCACCGTTGAAAGTGTCATACTTGAACAGGAAGATACACCTATTTCTGTCTATAAGAAATCTATATATCTATGTGCTGACGCTCACTAATCTTCTAAGTGCCAGAATAGTACAAAATCCTGGTAAAACTCGACTTTTTCTTGGTAAATCCTATGAAATCGGGTCTATAGTGTAGCCATTGTTTTCCGTGACTTTTATTACCAGGTCGTTGCCGTTGAATCTTGATATCTTGCTTCTTGGAGTAGTTGAACCCCTGATCGAAGCTTTCTCGGCCCGATATGAACGCCTCTCGTTCCTCTACATGATCGGCACCAGAGCGCGAAGTGAGGTGTTCTTGTGGTTGACCTGCTATTGACAGTGTTTGGTACTGTCGAAGTCAGTACCTCATCAGGATTAAGTCAAGATCATACCTACCCAGAAGTGCAAAAAGGCCCTAGGGATCATTACGATGATGTAAATTGGTTACAACGCGTAATAGGGATTCTCTCCACCTTCAATCGGCATGTTCCGGCAATGGGGTAACCCATTCCTATTGCGCTGTCGGGATGACGCCTGCGTATGTAATCATTTTGCCGATAAGTTGCCGAAGTTTCACCGGATAGGCAAGGATTGCCGATTCACGACTGCAAGCGTTGCTTTCTCCATGGGTTGGATGAAAAACTGCTTTGTACAATAAAGAGCGCAGGTGTGTTTCCTTACGATACGTTTTTGGTTCGCTTCTTACATGAGTGAGCCTATGAAAAACCTATTAATTGTCAATTCTTGTTCTTGGTTCGACTTTCCCAAGCCGCAATTTAGGGTAACTGGGTAAGCGTTGTGAGTTTAGGCCGAATTTTTTTGGATTTAAGGTGAGAGACGCGAGAGTGGGGGGGGGGGGGGGGGGGGGGGTAGTGATTATATTTTGTTTGGGTTTAGTTCTTTCTGATAGAAGCGAATTTGAAAATATTTAAAACAAAAAACTAGCAGTGAGTCTTTTGAGTTGTTA